CCTCCGTACCCTATTAAGACCCTAACAGTAATACGCATCCTGCTGAGGTATCTGCCTCTTAATGGGTAAGTTCCTCGATTGGTGCCCGACTGGGACCAGATGGAGATTCAGTGTCTTACTGATTTTCATAAATTCTGGATTAAACCTGATTTTAAGTGTTGACTGACTGAGTTTGATTTTACGCCGCTTTTAGCAATATCACGGCGAGGGACACCAGAAATAGGCTTCACTCATTGTACCCATGTGGGGATTCGAACCCGGGTCTATGGCGTGACGAGCCAACGCTTTAACCACTAGGCTACCCCACCGCCCCTTTAAGTGTTGAAATCATCTCAAAATCAATATATACCCATGTCTTTTGTTATTCTATGGACATGAAGCAGAGGCGGAAGAGGCCAAATTTAATGTGACATGCAATTTTTCAGTTGTAAAGGGGCGATGGGGTAGCATAGGGGTTAAAGCGTTCGCTCGTCACGCCGAAGACCCAGGTTCGATTCCCCACATGGGTACAATGTGTGAAGCTCATTTATTGTGTCCCCTGCCGTGATATAGCTGGAATATCGCTGAAAGTGGCGTAAAACTTCACTCACTCACTCATTGGTAAAGGCTAGACAACCAGACGCCGATCAGTCTTAAGTGCTGACGTCAGACCTCTATTCATCATTCTGGAACAGGTTCCACATGCCACGCCTCGGGGAAAATAAGAGATGGAGAGCGACAGGTGCGCTTCAGTCTGGTACCTCGCAGCGTGACGTTGCTCTTGGATTCAATGTCCATAGAAACACCATTTGACACTTATGTCGACGTTTTCAGAAAAATAACTAGCAAGTTATAGACCGTTGTCGTAGTGGCTGTTGTGGTTGACAAGTAACGGTCAGGTGTCAAGACCGATGGATTCGAACCACGTACCTCCGACACGGGTTCCACTCAGCAACCCTTACAGCCCGTACATATCTGGCAACAGAGGTGTATCTGCGAGCACAGTTCGACGTCTTCCACATGCAAGACGCCCAGCCCGGCGGCCAATATTAACGCCGGAACGTAGATGTCGACGTCTCCAGTGGACCAGGCCAAGTGCTCAGCTTGTACAGCAATGTCTTAATCAGAACAGTGATGATGTGTTACTCAGGCCCGCACTATTCAATGATTTGTGATCCATGACGTTCTCGTCATCCGAATCCTCCAACAACGCGTCAGGAACTCTTCCCAAGGACTTTCAAAGTCTTTTCGTGGCCTCAGTGAGGTGAAAGTGCCAGGTCGGCATCAATACACGAGGTAGACACGCCCCCTACTAACAGTGTGAACTTATTTGCATATGCCACGTGTGCTGTACCTGTGGACTGTAGATCGTTACCATACCTTAGAATTTTGTCTTTCCGTGTAATAACATTTCATTCGCGGCAGTATCTGTTTAACACTGTGTGACAATCACTTTTGCATTCGAGTATACTTTGATTCTGAAATGCATCGAAAAGGAAAGGTCACCATGGTACAGAAACATAATTTATATTAATAATAATAATAATATGCGAAATTTATACAGCGCCCTATATGGCTTAACATAAAACCACTCTAAGGCGCTCAACAGTGTTCAAGGGTGAGATCTTCAAAATATTTTCATTTTTTATTGTATAAATTGTTTTTGTGACGATATGGCTGAGATATTGCCGATGTGACGTTAAATATTAACTCACTCACTCACTCATTCACTCAAGGGTGAGAGTCGGTATAAACATTTATATATATATATATATATATATATATATATATATGTGGGTTTTGATGCCCTTTTGAAACAATTGTATGAATCAGAGTCTCTGATTGTGACTGGTAGATTTTTTTGGCCAATGACAGTGGAGATTGAATAGGAAATAAAGGTTCGAAAAAGGAAAGGACGACTGAAATGTCTGTCATACTGGTGTAAAGCCAGTTCTATCTTTTGTATTCTTTAAATTGTCTCTCGTAATCCCATAAGGGATAGCTCATCAAATGTATATTTTATACGTGTAAATATTTTATATATGTTATACTTGTATAAGGTGAGACTTAAAACATCTGTCTGCCCATTATTGGCGCTCTTTCTCTCAGACAAAGCTCTAGGTGGACAACAACCCAACCGTAATTATCTTATATAGATAATTCAATTTGGTGGTATGATTAATTTCAACAAAAACATGTACCTCTCTATAAAGAACATAGTCGATGATATTTCAGATCTACCGATCAATGTGTTAGTGCGATACCCTTTGATGGCAACAGAACAATATACCTTCGTTTGAACAAGGAGGTATTCATAGATTTCCATTCACCATGGTAAACACGTGCCAGTAGCAATCATACGTCGATGGGAAACATGACAATAAGAAACACAAGTTAGTAGGAAACACGCGTAGGAAACACGCCAGTAGCAATCATACGTCGATGGGAAACATGACAATAAGAAACACAAGTTAGTATGAAACACGCGTAGGAAACACGCACCAGTAGCAATCATACGTCGATGGGAAACATGACAATAAGAAACACAAGTTAGTATGAAACACGCGTAGGAAAACACGCGCCAGTAGCAATCATACGTCGTTGGGAAACATGACAATAAGAAACACAAGTTAGTAGGAAACACGCGTAGGAAACACGCGCCAGTAATCATACGTTGATGGGAAACATGACAATTAGAAACACAAGTTAGTAGGAAACACGCGTGGGAAGCACGCGCCAGTAGCAATCATACGTCGATGGGAAACATGACAATAAAACACAAGTTAGTAGGAAACACGCGTGGGAAGCACGCGCCAGTAGCAATCATACGTCATTGGGAAACATGACAATAAGAAACACAAGTTAGTAGGAAACACGCGTAGGAAACACGCGCCAGTAGCAATCATACGTCGATGGGAAACATGACAATAAGAAACACAAGTTAGTATGAAACACGCGTGGGAAGCACGCGCCAGTAGCAATCATACGTCGTTGGGAAACATGACAATAAGAAACACAAGTTAGTAGGAAACACGCGTAGGAAACAAGCGCCAGTAGCAATCATACGTCAATGGGAAACGTGACAATAAGAAACACAAGTTAGTATGAAACATGCGTGGGAAACACGCGCCAGTAGCAATCATACGTCGATGGGAAACATGACAATAAGAAACACAAGTTAGTAGGAAACACGCGTAGGAAACACGCGCCAGTAGCAATCATACGTCGATGGGAAACATGACAATAAGAAACACAAGTTAGTAGGAAACACGCGTAGGAAACACGCCCCAGTAGCAATCATACGTCGATGGGAAACATGACGATAAGAAACACAAGTTAGTATGAAACACGCGCAGGAAACACGCGCCAGTAGCAATCATACGTCGATGGGAAACATGACAATAAGAAACACAAGTTAGTATGAAACACGCGTAGGAAACACGCGCCAGTAGCAATCATACGTCGATGGGAAACATGACAATAAGAAACACAAATTAGTAGGAAACACGCGTAGGAAACACGCACCAGTAGCAATCATACGTCGATGGGAAACATGACAATAAGAAACACAAGTTAGTAGGAAACACGCGTAGGAAACACGCGCCAGTAGCAATCATACGTCGATGGGAAACATGACAATAAGAAACACAAGTTAGTAGGAAACATGCGTTGGAAACACGCACCAGTAGCAATCATACGTCGATGGGAAACGTGACAATAAGAAACACAAGTTAGTAGGAAACACGCGTAGGAAACACGCGCCAGTAGCAATCATACGTCGATGGGAAACATGACAATAAGAAACACAAGTTAGTATGAAACACGCGCCAGTAGCAATCATACGTCGATGGGAAACATGACAATAAGAAACACAAGTTAGTAGGAAACACGCGTAGAAAACACACGCCAGTAGCAATCATACGTCGATGGGAAACATGACAATAAGAAACACAAGTTTGTAAAGAAACACGCGTAGGAAACACGCGCCAGTAGCAATCATACGTCGATGGGAAACATGACAATAAGAAACACAAGTTAGTAGGAAACACGCGTAGGAAACACGCGCCAGTAGCAATCATACGTCGATGGGAAACATGACAATAAGAAACACAAGTTGGTAGGAAACACGCCTAGGAAACACGCGCCAGTAGCAATCATACGTCGATGGGAAACATGACAATAAGAAACACAAGTTGGTAGGAAACACGCGTAGGAAACACGCGCCAGTAGCAATCATACGTCGATGGGAAACATGACAATAAGAAACACAAGTTAGTATGAAACACGCGTAGGAAACAAGCGCCAGTAGCAATCATACGTCGATGGGAAACATGACAATAAGAAACACAAGTAAGTAGGAAACACGCGTAGGAAACACGCGCCAGTAGCAATCATACGTCGATGGGAAACATGACAATAAGAAACACAAGTTGGTAGGAAACACGCGTAGGAAACAAGCGCCAGTAGCAATCATACGTCGATGGGAAACATGACAATAAGAAACACAAGTTAGTATGAAACACGCGTAGGAAACACGCGCCAGTAGCAATCATACGTCGATGGGAAACATGACAATAAGAAACACAAGTAGGAAACACGCGTAGGAAACACGCGCCAGTAGCAATCATACGTCGATGGGAAACATGACAATAAGAAACACAAGTTAGTATGAAAATCAAGTTAGTGAGGAACATGCTGGAAACAGGTTGGTAGGAAACACATGTCAATATCACACATACGCCATTAGGAAACACCAAAATCGGAAACACACAAGTCAGTAACAACCGCCGATGGGAAGCATGTCAATAGGAAACGTAGGTCGACGAGAAACACACAAGTAGGAACCAATGTAGTGGAAAGCATGCTAACTGAAACATGTTAGTAGGAAATCCATGGAAACATGTCATCAAAAAACAGGACAGTAGGAAACACACATGACAATAGGAAACACGCAAATCAGTGTAAAACAAATACATCCGTTTGGATTTAACCCAAAGCTTGAGTCCTACTACTTTTCCTACCTTTGAGCTGTGGAGTTCCGGCGTCGTGCCATCAGTGCAGGGACATCTTCACCTCTGTCTGTTACGATAGATATTGTACAGCCACTAAGTTCGTGGTAAACTGATCATTAGCGCCGATAACGATTGATTCTCTCCGTTAATGCCGGCGTGCATGAAATATAAATACAATACTCGGAAACCATGTCCACAACTTAACTCACTTGTTAACTTCAAACAAGTCATTATCGACACAGACGATGACGACACACGACGTCGACACACACCTACACGATGAACACAATACACACCTACCACACTTCACCAAGGACAAAGTACTTCAGCGTGTTAAACATTACCGTACATTAGAAGAAACATGGTCGCAATTGTTTGCCTTGCTTCGATATTAACAAACCGTTTACTAACATGATGGTTTGGACGTCATCGTTGACAAAACAAATTCATTAGACGTGTCAATGCGCCATGAAAGGTTTATTTCGGGACGTTTTAATGGATGGGTTAAAGGGATACGTCTTTAGAGCATAGGTATTTCTTAGTCCGTCCACTTGTCAATATCTGGTCATGGTTCCACACTTGCCTTTTCTGTGTTAACCGATTCATAGATTATTGCACATATCGATAATCATTAGAGAAGATTTTACAAAGTCAACATCCATGTTCCGATCTTGGCTTGTTTCGTTTCATCGTTTCTTGACGTGGTATAGTCACGTGACAACTACCTATACCAGTGAGAAAGTAAGATACTTCATGGTTAACAACTTCTTTATTATATATGATGCGAGGTTTTGGTATAGATTATTATACCGTTGTCGACCCATGAAAGTCCGGGTTAGAGTGCATCTTCAGTAACCCACGCTTGTCGTTAGAGCAGACTAAAGGGATAGGTAGGTCAGGCTCGCTGGCTTGGTTGACACATGTCTTCGGTTCCCAATTGCGCAGGTCGATGCTCATGCTGTTGATCACTGGATTGTGAGGTCCAGACTTCATTATTTACAGACCACCGCCATATAACTGGAATATTGCTGAGTGCGCCGTAAAACTCACTCACTCACCATATGCATGAAATCCAGCTACAGCTGTGAATAGGTTCATTATGAAGATTATATACAATAGAATATACCATTGAAGATAACTTAGATGAATTGTTTGTAAATAATTTAGACCTAAAAGTTGACATACTAGTTTTAACATCAACAGAAAGTGGGACTCTACCTAGTTCACCATAAAGCATATACAATGGGGTACTTTTCATTACAGGTAATACTTTGCTCATAAAACATATATGCACATTTTCAATTTGTTTTAAATTAACATATCCCCAACATAGCACAACCGTACAACAAACTGGTGTCACCATTGAATCAAAGAGCTGACATTGTATTGATAAATTTGACATTCGACTTCTGCGTAAAACAAAATACATGGCTTTTTAGTAGTAGCTTGTTGGCTCGTCACGCCGAAGACCAGGTTCGAATCCCACATGGGTACAATATGTTAAGCCCATTTCTGGTGTCCCCCGCCGTGATGTTGCTGGAATATTGCTAAAAGCGGCGTAAAACCAAACTCAGTCAGTCAGTCAGTGTTGACAGAGATTTGATCTAGATAATTTGAAAGAACATTTTCTATCAAAACTAACTCCAAGATATTTATGCACAATATCAGTTTTCCTTAGGTTCAACTAACTGGCTGTAATATCCAATTGGGACATTCCCATTTAAAAATGGGTTCTGCCCTAATTAATCCCTAAAAGCAAAAGGACAATTGGGATGTCTAGATAATGGGATGCCTAACTAATGGGAGTAAACCGATAGGCAGTAATGCAGTCAACTAATTGATCAGGGCCTAATTACCAATCACTGAGAGGATGTTTAAAGGACTAACCTGGCTGCCCGACCACCCGGGACGGGTTATTTTCAACACGGACTGCCAGATTCTCAAATTCACCTGCCCGACGGTCGGGTTAAAATTTAGACGTGTACATGAAGAAATTCATCATATTTCAGGATAATAAATCATTATTAATTCCTCGTAAAATAAATGATGAATTCCAATTGGATGATAAACTACGTCGCTTGTCAAACCCTAAACTATTAGCGGGCAGGTAAGTTTTGGTCAGGGCTGGCAAGTTTTACATCTAACCAGCCTTGAGGTCTGGCTGAAATATTTGGGAGTTTCATACCCTGCTAATATACCACGACCACTTGGGTGAGTACAAACACACTTAGTGATCCGATAAGTGCTTTCAGTATTAAGTGTGGTGAGTGAGTATGGTTTTAGCAATATTCCAGCAATGTCACTGCGGGGGACGCCAGAAATGGACTTCACACATTGTACCCATGTGAGTAATCGAACCCGGGCCTTCAGCGTGACGTGCGGCCGATTTAGTCACCACTGTAGGCTACCACATCGCCCCACAGCGTTATGGGTCACTGACTATCACTCTCTGAGTGACTAAATGATGTAGGTAAAACTACATCAGCCTACTATACAGACACACGGGCACTTGGCCAGAACTACCTCTCGGTAAATAAGTGAAAGCAAGTCAGACTAAATTAGAACATTTTATAATGAAAAACGTACAAGTCAAAACATTGATTACACAACAGTCTCGTTTCCTGTTGACTGGGTTCCGCCCTATCGCGCAACTAAGTACAATAACCAGACCAGAATTTTGAGACCAATTCATTTAACTGGATACATAAATATTAATCAGTATTATTTGATACATCTAAGCACTTGTATATTGCAACACTACGCTCCTTATAATCCTTGCAAACACGTCGTGCAGCGTGCTCTGTCGTACAGCGAGCTCTGACAAACGGAAACCTGGAAATCTCAAAACGAGGCTCTGCCGCTAGAAAGGTTTGGCGGCCTGGTACGGAACTGATATTATATCAATCAAATTGTGCGTTACAGAACTACACTGAATAAGTGCAACACACATAACAGGTGTAACCAGTAAGCCAGATGCATTGTGAATCAGTTTACGACCTCATCAATCATGGGCAGTCTGTGACGTCTTAGTTAAGGTCATGCTGCCTACGCCTCGCCATAAAATATAGAAATACGATGTTGTTAAAGTTTAAAATTCAAATTCATTTAAAAATACCATTTTCTTATGAAACAAGGAATTGGAATTCAGTGTAACCATAGTTGTTTGTGATGTCTACTTTCTCTTTCACACGAGAAACTTCGGATCGGCTGAAAAGTAGGTCATTGTCTGAATAGGTTAATGAGACTCATGTTTCGGTTTGGCACTTGGCCTGGTCAAGTTCATCCATAGATACAGACCAGTAATCTAAATATACGATTAAAAACAAACTGCTATTATATAAACCATGTATGGTGCCTACGTTTTTCGTTTATTGTACCATAAACATACATTAGAAATAACACAAACAGTTCAGAAAACGGAAACACACAATCTATATCCAAGTTTCCCCGTAGAGACTTCAGTGGCGATCATCGGGAGAGAAGCAGTAGCAGGTGGACCAAGCATGGCTTAGCAGTCACTGGAAGTGAGTGAGTGAGTATGGTTTCACTCCGCTTTTAGCGATAGTCCAACAACATCAGGGCGGGTGGGTGGGTTTTCACCAGAAATAGGCTTCACACATTGTATCCATGTGGGGAATCGAATCCGGGTCTTCAGAGTGACGAGCGGACGCTTTAAAACACACCACACACGCGCACACACACACACACACACACACACACGCACGCACGCACACACGCACGCACACACACACACACACACACACACACACACACACACACACACACACACACACACACACACACCACCCAATCACCAAAGTCACTGGCAGTGTTGATCCCTACTCAACCCGTCTTATTCATAGGGCGTTGACAGACTTCGGGGAAGACTATCTTTCTTCAGTGTCGCCTAATTAAACAATCTTTTTGACATGGCCGGATTAACAGAATTTGTGTTAGATTAGATACAGCAACCTTACAAGAATATGTACAGTAAAGTATGATATTTGTGTAGAAAGAGCGTGAACGATACTACGAGAATGTTTTTTTTAAGATGTTGTGAGAATAATTTGGCAATGCTGAGGTAAAAATCAAGTTTGAACGGAAGCAGAGCTGCGCAGAACACATGCGCACTAACAAAGGTAGAAAAAAGGGTAGTCTACCCGCGAACTGCGTGACAGTATCATCGTATTGTATTATGGAATAAATACTGTTATCGCTTCGCATCGTCGTTTCATCTCTTGGCGTCATTACATCATAGTTTTGCCCTTAGGTATTGTGCTTTTATATCATCGCTTCGAGTCATCATACTATCGCATCCTGGCATCCTACATTACAGAGCTACAGATAATTTTTTGGGTCATTGAGTTATGTACCCGCTTGTCTTCATCTCAATTGGGTATCCTGATTTTCCTTTGAGTAACCTAACAAATTGTACTCACCTCACTCAAAATCTATTGGGTATTTTGCCATTTTCCATTAATTGTAAAAATATAATAAAGTTTAAATGTTAGTGTTTGTTATTTATATTTGATCTGTAATATGAGAAACGATATGAAAGACTGCTAGTTGAGTGTTCATGTGCCGAAATAGAATCTCTCAATATACCTCAGTTGCTTTATCTATCCACCGGTACGCAAGCTGAGATTTGACATTTTTGTGTGTACGCATGTACAATCAAATTTATTGAGTATTTACAAAAATACAAGCGTACTTGTACGCAACAGACGTAATAGGAATTGAGTTTTCACATAAATATTTGCGTAATTTACGCAGATACGCAGCTTATCTGTACCTCTGGACTACATGTATCATCATATAACGTCGGTGTGTTCCTATCACAGAACTCGCTCCTCCCGTCGAAGACCCGGGTTCGATTCCGTACGTGGGCCTAACGTGTAAAGCCCATTTCTGGTGCCCCCGTCGTGATACTGCTGGAATATTGCTAAAAGTGGCGTAAAACATAACTCACTCCTATCACAGACCCGAGCAATCAAATCGCTTCGCGTCGTATCTTTATTTCGTAATGGGCGGTGGGGTAGCCTAGTGGTTAAAGCGTTCGCT